TTCGTCGTGCAGTTCTGCAACAACTAAAAGAATGGAGGGCGGGTCCTTTTCAAACTGTGCTTCTCGCCTTAGCGCCGCGCACATGAATCCTGTAAGTTTACACCAGTGATGTGTGTTCGTGTGGTCGAGGTCCCAGGACGCAACAGTTATGACGATTCGCGGTGATGCAGTCCCGGGAATGGTGTTCTGTCAAGACCCTGGGCTGTCAGCACGCAACAATCACGTGGATCCGCGGCGTTGAAGTCCCAGGAGCGGTGTTCATGGCACGATGAAGATTGTCACACGACTGCCTTCTAATGGGCCACTTCCCGCAATTAAGACAAATTCCTTCAGGTGCCTATGAAAGGCAACTTGGAGGCGATATTCATTTTAGCATCGTTGATGCGTTTTGGGTTTACGCTGGTCCTCATCATCCTCCTCCTCCTCCTAATCACTCGTTGTGCACATACCCCCCTTCTCTTCTCCTCTCCTCTCCGTATTTCTCTCTTTACCCCCGTGCTCGTCCTGCCCGTCTGTCTGCGAGTGGCGGCAGAGCCGCTATCCACTCATCGCCACCCCGTGACAAGCAGGAACAACACGAGTAAGATAAGGATCAGCTATGAAGGGGACCAGGGACACACAAAGAAGTACACACAAATGCCAATCGTTCCGCACATGTTGTCCATATGTTTTTAGTTTTCGTCGTCCCTTCACGCCCCACAATTCCCTACATTATGTTGGACATCGGGGATAATGTGTCTGTGTGTCTTTTCCCCTCCTGGAACTAGTTACACGAGTTTCCGTCGGTCCCAAGAAAAGAGGAACAAGGGAATTTATGAACTTCGAAATTAAATCGAAAGGCAAGCCCTTCTCTTTGATCACTTACCTGCCGGGGGGGGGGTCCATGGGGGGGGGAGCTTTGGGGGGGTCCCCAGGGGGAGGGATCCCCCGGGGTGGTAATGCCTCCTGGAGGGTCCCTGAGCCCCAAAAAGCTCCAAGGCGGGCCAAGAGTGCCCCAAGAGGACACCAAGACGGTCCAAGAGAGCCCCGAATCGCCGAACGATCCGTCCAAGACGCCCAAGATAGCCTCCGACCAGCCCCAGATGCCTGCAAGACGCCCCAAGAGACCCAAGAGGCATCCAAGAGCACTCGCACGAGGGCCCCACGGGTACGGGCAAACTTCATTGAATCTTATAGCGTTCTCGCCTTTCCGGCTTCGACGCTCCAAGACGGCCCAAGAAGCCCCGAAGATCGCCAAAAGACGGCCCAAGAGCCCCAGGAAGCCCCCAAGAGGCTCCCAAGAGGCTCCCGAGAGGCCGCCGAGCGGCTCCCAGGGGACTCTGAGAGTGCCCCCCACTGCCAGAGGCCTCCGAGAGCGTTCCGAAGGGACCCCAAGAAGCATCTCTGAGGACTCTGACCCCGGTTGGCGTCGTCGCCGCCGCCGCCGTCCCCCTTCAGGGTCGGCGGCACAGGCCGCAAGACCTTCGCAGGACCCCCTCCCCGTCGCACCCGCAAGCGTGCCGGTAGGGCGGGCCGGGCGTTTCGCCTGAGATTGTCCCACCAGTAATGAGCCTGAAGCTTGAAAGGTCAACAGTTTCACAGGTGGAGGGCGGGTCCTTTGCAAAGCGTGGCTCTCGCCGTAGCGCCGCGAACGTTCGTTCCAAGGTTTGCACCAGCTTCACGGATGGAGGGCGGGTGTTCGAAAAGTGGTTCTCGCCGTAGCGCCGCGCACATTCATCCTCAAGAATGCAAGCGCTTCAAGCATGGAGAGCGGGTCCATCTCAAAATCTTGGTCTCGCCTTAGCGCCGCGCAAGTTCGTTGTAAATGTTCGCATAAGCTTCAAATATGGAGGGCGGTTCTTTCTCAACATCTGTCTCCCGCCTTTGCGCCGCGCACATTCTCTTTGAAAGTTACAAATTTCACCACTTTCAAGGATTCGACCGGTTGAGCTCCCCGGAATTGCGTTCTGGCGCGATGCAGGATTGTGAAGACGCAACAGTTACGTTGATTCGGAGTATCGTCCAAAGAACGGCGTTCTGACACGACCCAGGACTGTCAGGACGCAACAATTACGTTGACTCGTGGCGCTGAACTCCAATGGAGTTGTTTTGACACGATTGGGGGTTCTCAGACGATTGCCTTCCCACGGAACACTCCCCGCAGGGAGAATCCCACCAGCCCATCTGGGCACGAGTGGTTTAGAGGGTTTCCTCTTCGAGACCCCTTCTTCCTAATGAGGGAAGGGTTATCACTGTTCCCTATTACTATGAACCCCCTCCCCCAGGCGACCGGCAGCCAACCAGGAGCAATGCCAACCATATGATCACACCTCTCGGCCATCCCTGTCAAGAAGCAATACAAAGCGTACGCTGCCTCCAAATTCGGAGCATGCGCACCCAACCCGATGCGGCCTTCCCAAACATCCCTATCAAGAAAACACAAAGTACACTTTTGGGCAAAGTCTTGAATCGTGTTCGTGAGGCCCGCGAACACTTTGTACTGTTGTCGGAAGGGACGGCTGAGGTGTGAGCATATTGCCTGCTGTGAGCAGGGCCACCATCCTGTCAAAAAATAAATCAGGCGCGACCCCGGGGAAAACTTCCTATTGCATGGGCACAGTGCTTAGCATTGCTTGACATCGCTGGGAATACGAAGCACCCGGGGCAAGGAACCCGAGGAACCCGGGAGATCCGAGGAACCCGAGGAGCTTCCAAGGCACCGATTGTCGGGAACCCGAGGAACCCGAGGAATCTGAGGAACCTCCGAGGGAAGCGCAAAGCATCACCCCGAGACACCAATAGTTAATTCAGTAAGAGCACCCTAAACAAGCCTAACCGTAGAATGCATTGCACGTCGCGGCTAAATCTCGATCATGAGAGGCCACCCAGCAATCACTGTCAAGTGATGTGTCACAGGGACGGCGTGGGTGGTGGCGTATGGCCTACTGTGCGCAGGCCCTCCAGACACGATGATGGGCATTGGTTTTCGACAGGGATGGTGGGGGCCGACTTGTTTCCCGATGTGTGCTGTCACGTGCGCAGGCATACCTTAAACACTCCGCACGGGCCCCGAACGTGGCGCGACTGGAGTATGCTGCACACCTGGTGCACGTGGAGCACGTGGCGCATCTGGCGCACCGAGCGTGCCTGGCACGCTCGGGCCCCAGGGGTGCCTGGCACGCGTGGCGCGCCTGGCACGCGTGGCGCACCTCGCCCCAGCGTCGCGCACATGAGGTCGGTGTTGGTTCCCAGTAGCTGTCTATCCAAAGACGACCGCTGAACATGCTAAGGCTCGGGTGTTACTTATGTGCTGGTAGGAAAGGTGGGAGTGAGCTAGACGACTAGCTATCTAGGAGGGGGTCCTGACTCTTCCTCCTACCCTCTCCCCCTGGGTCTGGAGGGGAAGGGTCGCGAGGCGATTGAGTTTCCAAGATGGCCTCGGCGAGGACGCCAACATAAGTGATGTTACTAAGGTCTTGGCAACAGCTTGTCCTGATCGGGTGTGCTTATTTGGAAACCTCACTATGTGATCGATCTCCTCGTAGATGGCCCTAAGATGGACCCCGACGCTCGCAAGGGTGCCCCAAGACGGCCCGAGGAGGCGACCAGGAGGCCCCTATGACGCTCCCCAGATGCCCCCAAGAGGCTCCCAAGAGGCCCACAAGACGCCCCGAGAGGCCCTCCAGAGGTACCCAAGACGCCCCAAGAGGCCTCGGCGAGAATGCCAACGTTACGGATTTTACAGAAGGTGTTGACAGCATATTGGCCACCTGGGGGCAGAGGCCAAATTAAGGAGCCCCACTCCTTTGATCGATCTCCTCAGGATCTCCTCCAAGATAGTCCCAAGATGGCTCCCGAGGCTCCAAAGGGTGTCAAGGGACGGGGCAAAGAGGTGCCCAAGGGGCCACACGAGGCCCACAATATGTTCCCCAAGAGGCTACCACGCGGCTCCAAGAACCCCCTTCCAGAGGCACGCCTCGGCGCAAAGGCCAAAATTATTGATTCGTGTAAGGTTGTGGCAACATGTTGGCCTGAGGGACGTCATAACTGAGTACGGCCCGTCCTTTGATCGATCTCCTCCAGGATAGCCTCCGAGGCTCCCGAGGGTGCCCCAAGAATGAGGTGGCCAGGGGGCACCAAGAGGCCCCCATGACGCCCCCAAGATGCCCCCAAGAGGCTCCCAAGAGACCCCCAAGAAGCCCCCAGAGGCCCCCCAGAGGCACCCAAGACGCCTCAAGAGGCCTCAGGCACTGCCAAGAACCCTTCAAGACGCCCGAAGAGGAATCCAAGAGGCTCTCTGAAGAAATCCGAAGAGACTCCGAGAGGCATCATGAAGCCTCTGGCATTTCTGCTCGCCTTCCTCCTCGTCCTCATCCGCCTCCTCCTCCTCCTCCTCCTCCTCCTCCTCCTCCTCCTCCTCCTCCTCCTCCTCCTCCTCCTCCTCCTCCTCCTCTTCCTCCTCCTCCTCCTCCTCCTCCTCCATCACCTTCTCCTCCTATTCCTCATCCGCATACTCCTCTTTCTATATTATCCCTCCTCCCCCTCCCCCCCTCTCCACTGTTCCTCCTCCTGCTCCCCCGCCTCCTCCTCCATCCTCCCCCTCTTGGGGGTATGACGTCTTACCCAGCCCTTCATTACACGGCATGCTTCTCCACAACCATGATCAGGGCAACTCGTCCAGGCATCGCTTCTGGATAGGCTGGTGGGGTTATGCGAAGCGTCAAAGATAGAATATTGTAAGGACATATGAAAAGGGACTTCTCCGATTGCGCACTTCTCTGCAGCTCCAGGCCCGCTATGACACGCGTCGGCGGGTAGAGAAAAACCAGCGCAGTGGGCAAGGGATGCGTGGGAGCGGCAGGTTGTCTGATACGGCGCGAGCGCACCCGGCTTGTCGCCCCCCCCCTCGCCCGCCGGAGGAGGCCGAGGACCTCAGGAGGACCAGGAGAGGAGACAGGGTGGCGAGGAGAAGGACGAGCCAGAGGACGCACCCCATTCCCTGCCACGACGGGCGCGGCGGCGGCGGCCGCGGGTCCCGCGAAGCTGGCCCGGCGCGGCGCTGGCCGGTCTGCCGCGGCCGCCGCGGCGGCGACGGGCGGCCTGCGCGAGGCCGCGCAGAGCGGCCACCGCCGCTTCGGGCCGGGGCGGTCCGGGCGGGCCGCTTGCGGTGGGCGCCTCCAGGATAGCGAGGCCCGAGGGCGGCGACGAGGCGGAGGACGAGGGAGGGGGCGGCCAGTGCACAGGGGAACGAACAATGACATGAACATAAACAAAAACTCGGAGGTCCGCGCGGACTTCTCAGATCGGCGCTGGGGGCCCCTGGCGGCGCCTCTGGCGCCGTTTCCCTAGTACAGTCAGCCCACATGATAAGGATGCGCGATAAGGATGCAGGGGACTCGGACGCGCATGCCGAAGGTGACCGAAGAGGCAAGGACGCAAGGGTGCCCTTGAGAAGTCGATCGTCCATACTATTAGGGTGGAGGAGCGCCGAGGGGGACACAGGGCGACTCCCAGCGACGCCAACGTTTACGTTTGGCGTTGGAAAGGTAGCGTGCAGCATCGATCTCCGAACGGCTCGCCATCCCTGTGAATCAGGAGGGGAAAAAAAACACACAGACACCATCAATCTTCGATCCCCCCGAAAAGATGAGACAATATGGGAAGTGGGGGGGAAGACAAAAACCCGGAAAATATAAGAAAATACGTAGGAAGGCACCAACTATACACCAACACCGATCCTGGCCCAGGATCACCCCGGGCCCAGGATCGGTGTATACGCCCTCCTGCCTTGCGCAAGAGGGCATATACACCGATCCTGGGCCCAGGGTGATCCTGGGCCAGGATCGGTGTTGGTGTATAGTTGGTGCCCTCCGAATACGGGGAATCCGGTCATCTGTGTGTATTTACGTGTGTGTCCTTGGGCCCCTGGAGTGCAGCGATTCCCCCCCCACACGCGGGCCCCTTTGTGTGCACGCGCCGTCCCCCTGCCGGGGGGCCTCGTCGGTGCACGCTATATCCCCAGGGTGGGGGGCCTAGCGTTCCAGGGGCCCATAGGACACACAGATAAATACACACAAATAACGAGGTTCCCCATATTTTCCCATAGTTTCCCATAAATACACACAAATAACGAGGTTCCCCAATAAATACACACAAATAACGAGGTTCCCCATAAATACAAACAAATAACGAGGTTCCCCATATTTTCCCCTATTTTCTGTGTGTCTGTCTTCCCCCCCACTTCCCATAGTTTCCCAAAATTTGTCGGGGGATCGAAGATTAATGGTGTCTGTGTGTTTTTACCCCTCCTGAAGCGTGTAGTAAGCAAATTAGCGGCGCCACATCACACGCCATCTGCGCAACGCCAACCGTACACGACGGTCGAAAGAAGTCGGTAAAAACATGAAGTAGGTAAAAACATGAAGTTGATTGGGTCCAGGCCCCCCCCCCCCCAGAGAAGAACAAAACACAGCAAAAGCGTGCCGACTCTTGGAGTAGGAAGGCGCTTGAAGTAGATTGGGATATGGGGATTCAAAAATACCTACTTCCAACGACCGGCGTGCAGTGGGGGGGTAGTGGGGGGGTAGTGGGGGGGTAGTGGGGGGGGGGGGGGGGCGAACCCCTGAGATCTTGGCGTTGCATTGTTGTTCGCACCGGGCGATTCCGCCTCATTTCGGGACCCGGGGGCCATCGCAGGTCGATCGAACTCGAAGAATGCCGCGGCAAGACGGGGCCCAAGGCTCCGGTCGTGGCTTCGCTGCGTCGGTTCTCAGGGATCACAGGGCGGGCCAACCAGTTGGGGGCCACCCAAAGGGGGGGCCATCCAACAAGGACCAACCATCAGACCAACAGTGGCAACACAGAAAGTCGCGCCTTCCGTGCACCCTGGGGGCCTGTCTGGGGGCCCCTCTCATGCAACTTTGCCTTCAATCCCCCAATGACTCGTTCGTGGGCGGAAAACGTATCCGTATCCGCAGGCCTCTCTGGGGCCCCGTTCATGCAACTTTGCCTTCGATCCCCCAATGACTCGTTCGTGGCGGAAAACGTATCCGTATCAGGGATCTTCTGACCCGGGTCAATCCAGACCCGGGTCAATCAGGCCTGCAAAATCCTGCAAGATCCTGCACCCAAACCCGGGTCAATGCGACGGATCCTGCAGGATCCTGCAGAATCCTGCACCCAAACCCGGGTCAATGCGACCCTGGCGCTGCAGGATCCTGCAAGATCCGGCACTCTGGCTGAACCCCCGTCTGCACTGACCCCCGTCTCGAGGCTCCCGACCGTATCCGCGGCCTCGCGGGCCGGTCCCCCAGGCCGCGACCCCGCGGATGCGGGGCGCTGTTCCGCGGATGCCCCGAGCGGAGCCTCTCCGTGCGACCGCGTACCTTGCCACTTGGGCCGTGGGTGTAGGACCATGAGACGCGTGACGGGTATGAAGAACATTGTCGGCCGGCGCCATGGGGACTTCTGCACCGTGGCCTTGGGTGGAGTAACTTATGGGGACCAACGCGTGAGGGCTGTGCCGCAACGTCATGCGGACTTTGCCACGTGTGAAGAGAATATCGACATGGTCGGGCGGTACCATGCGGACTTTCCCACTCGGGCCAAAATGGGCGGGGCGGCGCCGTCTGGATTCTGCCACTGGGGCCTCAGACGGAGCTCCCAACGGGCCACGCATCGTGTGCGGGGTGTCCCGAAGCGGCCAGAACGGCGCCGTGCGGACTGTGCCGCTGGGGCGTTCGTGGGAGATGGGGCCGCGAAACGTGCGAGCGGGGTGCCAAGAAGGGCGGAGCGGCGCCGTGCGGACTGTGCCACTCGGCCTTCGGTGGAGCTGCCTCCTTGGGCCGCGCAGCGTGCGAGGGGCGTGCCGCGAAGGGCGGGGCGGCGCCATGCGGACCTTCCCGCTTGGGAAGGACGCGGAAAGCACGGGCAGGGAGGGGAGGGCAGAGTCAGTGGCAAGAGGAAGGAGGGGGTGGGGATGCGGAAGGCAGGGGGCAAGGAGGGCGAGGGCGATGCGGAGGGCAGAGGCAAGGAGGGAGGGGATGGGAGGAGGAGGAGGAGGAGGCGGCGCGCTGCGGATTCAAAGCGAGGACCCAACGCCACAGGATGGTTGGGACAAACATCGAATACGCCCAAAGCCATCTTCGACGTACAGTAAGAACGCGACGCCGACGGAGCCGACGACGCCGACGGCGGCGGCGCCACCGCCGGCGGACTTGGACGCCCAAAATATCCAGGATGAGAGTTCGGTCTGGGGTAAATGCGGTTTGGGCCCCCGACGCAAGCACTAGAAGGTACCCCTGACCACCCCAAGCCCCGATGATTCGGGAGTGGATGGACGCGCGAGTCACCTGGGAGAACTCTGGTCCGGGGCAACTCCAGGTTGGGCTCCTGAGGCACGAATCAGGAACTACCCCTGACCAACCCCAGCCCTGATGACTCGCGGCTCTGACCGACGGCGGCGACCGCGACGCAGCCGGCGGCGACGCCGCCCACGGCGGACTGCGACGGCGACGCGGCGCACGGCGGCGGCGGCGGCGGCGGCGAAGGCGGCGGGCGGCGCGCGCGGCGGACCTGCGCGAGGCGTGGGCGTCTGCGCCCTCGGGCGGGGAGCCCTGCATCTCTGCCGCGGGCGGGCGCTGTCCTGCGGCCCGTCGTCAGCGCCGCCGACGCCGCTCTGAGGAGGTCCTGCCGAGCCTGCAGCCATCGTGCTACCGTGGGGAACGGCACCGCTGTCTGCCGAGGGGGGGAGGGCCGCTTTGCCCGCCGCTGAGGCTCCTCTTCCAGGAGGTCCCCTGCGGGGGGAAGCCCGCCGTAGAGGGGAGCGCCGCGGCGGCGGCGCTCGGGTTCAGGCTCGAGCTCGTTGTGCTGGAGAGCCCATGGCTTCGGCAGTGGCCACCTCGAAGGAGGGACCGGAGAGGGTGGAGGAGATGTGGCGTGCTCTCTGCTCCCCGCTAAGGTGCCGCGACCACGGCGGGTGCCTTCCAGCGGGTGCTATATGCTGCTGCTGACGCTTCCCCTGGCCACGCAGGCGAAGCTGCTGGCAGTCGATCGGGCATCCCGCCCTCGCCGTAGGTCCTCGCTGCACTGGACCAGGTGGTGGGACCTCCAGGTCAGTCTCCTCCGAGACCCGTCTTACATTCGCATGGATCTCGAAGAGATGCAAACAGCGATACACATGAGAAAAACACTATGCATATTATATGTTATTTGCGTCGTTGTGCTGTGGCCGTCAAGTGTTTAGGCTTCGTGATCGCAGCTCCACGCATATCCATATTCCAAGTCTATTCGTGCATACTTCTTTGTAAAATTAATGTATGCCCATCGCCGTCTCTTGTGCGAAGAGGTATGAGCAGGTTGGCTTGCTCACCATTGGCGTTGAGGTGCGCCCTGACCAGAATTGCGAGGCGAACCCAGCGGTGGCGACGAGGGCCTCCCAGGCGGCCCACAATGGCGAAAACGAGAAGGAAACCGGTATCGGCACCTCTCCCGCACACGCGATGTCTGATGTTCATACGCGGTCCCCAGAGTCCCGACCCTTTCCTCTGGGCGGTTTGATCCGAGCCGATGTTTCACGGTCATGGGGCCCGGCGAGGGCCCCCAAAGGCCGACAATGGCGAAAACTCTCCCGTCGTGATTCGTGGCCAGGGTACCCCGAGATCTGACGGCGCGAAAAAATTGAGACATCGTGAGAAGTCCGGACCAGAGCCCTGGACCCTATCTTTCTATGGCAGGTTTCGAGCAACATCGATCTGAGAGAGTCGCGAAAACGCCCGGCTCGAAACAATTGCAGCGCCCAGATCTCATGAAGGGGAGCGATCTATGTATCTTTTCCTCTTCTACGGACCGATCGTCGTCGTCGTCGTCGGCGGCGGCGGCGCTCCTGGGTGGCGCCACAAGGTGGCTGCGACCTAGACGGCAGTCAGCGGCCGTGCCGCGCACATGCTGGCTGGCGGCGGGCGGCGCCAACATGGGACGCGGCCCGGAGCCAGGCGAGCTGCGGGAGGGCCGAGAAGGATCGAGTGGGGCCGAAGGGTCGAGGAAGGTCGAGGAGGAGGGTCGAAGAGGGCCAATGGGGGGCCGAAGTGACCGAAGAGGGCCGAGGAGGATCGAGGAGGACCCAGGAGGCTCGAGGAGGGCCGAGGGGGGTCGAGGAGGATCGAGGAGGGTCGAGAAAGGCCGAGGAGGGTCCAGGGTGGGGGGACTCGGACTCGGGTCCTCGATTCTCCCAGCGCCAGCGCAAGGCCCGGGGGGCCTCCCCCTCCTCGATCCTCGATCCCACAGTGACCCCCCGGTCCGCCTGGTCCCCCTTCAACCCGTTCCGCTCCGCAGCGGCCTGGACGAGGCCCCGTTCGCAGAGGGTCTCGGGCGCCCACGGCAGGTGTGTCGTGCGTTGGCGCGGCGCGACCCCTGCCAACGCTGAGCACGGACCGACCGTACAAGCAGTCCAATCGGCCTAGCACGAAGTGCTCTGAGAACAAACAACGGTTCCGAGAACCTGGCACCATGGAATCGATGGATCAAAACAAAACCGTCCCCACCAGAAATGCTCTTGGAACACCCCGTGCAGACCACCACAGGCTTTCAACACATGTGATGTGGGCCCGCAGGCAGGTAAGTAGGGAAACGAACTCTATACACCGACGCTTTTCCCGACCCTGAGCTGAAATTTGCACAAGAACGCGGATTATGGTGTATACGGGATACAACTGTATACATGATTCGTTGCTTTCCCGGGAAATCTGGGAAACAAGTATACACCACAACACCCCGACGTCGTCCCCGACCCTCAAAAAAGTCCTGGGATTTATATGCTCCAGTTTCCGAATCGGGGAGCGGCCATCGTGGACGGCTTGAGCGGTCCATGCAGGAGGGGCAGGAGGGGCAAACCGAGCGGGGAAGGGCGCCAGTGAGCAGGCAACACTCCGTCGGGGGCGCCCCCTTTGAGGCAGAACCAGCGTCGCCCAAAGCGGTTCTGCGATCGTCGACTCCGCACCAGGCAAACCATGACTGTCCATGTTGGACACAGGTTGTCGACGAGGAACGGGTAGCGATATCGGTGCCTTTTCCCCCGGTGGTGCTCGAGTAGGGGATCGACTACAGAATTGATGTGCCCCGTGATTGATCTTCTCGTCGAGTCATACGCAGAATGTTCGGAGACCTACGACCATGCTACGCATTTATCATGGATTCGGCGATCACACCAATTCTAAGGTAAATCACGTCTGCAGTCGATCCCCTACTCAAAGTGTGCTAGAAATGGCCGTCGAACCAGAGCGAGGACGGGTGAACGCTGCAGGGCTCCTTGCAGAAGGCCAGCCCCCAACGAAGATTGGAAAAACAATGCCTTCCACACCGGCCACTGGGAGGTCTCGGGGCTCATGTTGGCTACGTGATAATCGAACCCCAGCCTCTCCCCCCCAAAAAAAACCTGGACATAGTGGCCAGAAACTGGCACATCGCAGAGTGGGGGCGGGGCCTGGAGAGGGGCAATCCCACTCCTTGACAAAAACCTGGCCCCGATTTGTGACCGCCGCGATCGCCGCGGCGACTTCCAAAACCGAACCCGAGATTTTGTTCTGGGCCGGATACCCGGAGATGTGTTTCGGGGCCGGATATCCTGCAACGATGCAAGGGAAGAGAGGAGGATGAGTGCCCAAGCCACCCGGGACCTAGCTCGGGAACCCAAAGTTAGCACTGGTCCAAAAATTGATGATCCAACACGCACGTTACTTCAAGGTTGCCGTCGGGGCTCCCGTTCCGGATGCCGTGGCCTGCATCAGGGTCGCGGTCGGGGGGTCCTGGCTCCTCAGGTGGAGCCAGGCCGCCCGCTCGGGGCGGGCCGCGGATCGACCGCGCCTCGCTCTATGGCGCGCTCCTCCTCCTCCTCCTCCTCCTCCTCCTCCTCCTCCTCCTCCTCCTCCTCCTCCTCCTCAGCTCCCCCTCCCCCTCCCCCTTCACTTCCCCCTTCCCCTTCCCCCCCCCACCCCTCCTCCTGCTCCTCCTCCTCCCCCTCCTCCCCCCCCCCTCCTCCCCCTCCTCCTCCCCCTCCCCCCCCCCCCCCCCCTCCCCCTCCCCTCTTCCTCGTCCTCCCTCGTCCTCGTCCTCCTTCTCCTCTTCTCCTCCTCCTCCTCCTCCTCCTCCTCCTCCTCCTCCTCCTCCTCCTCCCTCCTCCTCCTCCTCCTCCTCCTCCTCCTCCTCCTCCTCCTCCTCCTCCTCCTCCTCCTCCTCCTCCTCCTCCTCCTCCTCCTCCTCCTCCTCCTCCTCCTCCTCTCCTCCTCTCCTCCTCCTCCTCCTCCTCCTCCTCCTCCTCTCCTCCTCCTCCTCCTCCTCCTCCTCCTCCTCCTCTCCTCCTCTCCTCCTCCTCCTCCTCCTCCTCCTCCTCCTCCTCCTCCTCCTCCTCCTCCTCCTCCTCCTCCCCTCCTCCTCCTCCTCCTCCTCCTCCTCCTCCTCCTCCTCCTACTCCTCCTCCTCTCCTCCTCCTCCTCCTCCTCCCCTCCTCCTCCTCCTCCCTCCTCCCCTTCTCCTCCTCCTCCTCCTCCTCCTCCTCGTCCTCCTCGTCCATCTCCTCCTCTCCTCCTCCTCCTCCTCCTCCTCCTCTTCCTCCTCCTCCTCCTTCTCCTCCTCCTCCTCCTCCTCCTCCTCCTCCTCCCCTCCCTGCTCCCCCTCTTCCTCCTCCTCTTCTTCGTATGCTTCTTATTATGAGTAGTGGTCTTATGTTTATTATTATTAGTAGTAGTAGTATTATGGTTAGTATTATTTGTATTATTATCATTATTATTACTCTTATTAGTATTACTATTATTTTGATTCGTCTAGCCCTGTTAGTATTATCAGTAGTTTGATTCTGAGTTTTATTCCCTACCTAGGCTCTGCCTAGAAGGGTTCTTACCCTGTTTGCTTGAAGGGGCCGGGCAGTGCTCCCCGCCCCGGGCGGTTCCCCCAGGATCCGCCCCGCGGTTCCCCCAGTTGCGTCCCCTGGGTTCGCCCAGCTTAGCTTAGCCAAGCTTAGCTTAGCTTAGCTTACATAGTAGCTTAACTTAGCTTAGCTTAGCTTAGCTTTGCCTAGCCCAGCCTAGCTTAGCTTAGCTTAGTTTACCTTAGCTTAGCTTAGCTTAGCTTAGCTTAGCTCATATTAGCTTAGCTTATCTCAGATTAGCTTAGCTTAGCATAGCTTACCTTAGCTTAGCTTAGCGCAGCATAGCGCAGCGCAGCAGTAGCACAGCACAGCATAGCATAGCCAAGCATGCATAGCGCAGCGCAGCATAGCTCAGCATAGCATAGCGCAGCATAGCATAGCATATAATAGCGTATCATAGCCATGCTTAGCATAGCGCAGCGCAGCATAGTATAGCATAGTATAGCATAGCATACCATAGCATACCATAGCGCAGCATAGCGCAGCATAGCATACCGAACACAAAATCAAGCAACAACAAAAACAAAAGCAACGCAAACGCAACAGCAACAGCAACGGCAAAGGCAAAAGCAAAGGCAAGAGCAAAAGCAAAGGCAATGCAAAGCAAACGCAAAACCAATGCGGAAGTGTAGATGTAGATGTAGATGTAGGTGTAGGTGTAGATGTGGTTGTAGGTGTAGATGTAGATGTAGATGTAGATGTAGATGTAGGTGTAGGTGTAGATGTAGATGTTGCTTTCCTAAGTGCTCCAACTCCTAGGTAGGGTCGCAATGGGATAAGTATTGTCAGTATACGTTTTCTGACTGTTATTACTTTTCACATTATTCTTATTCAGAGTGAAGGGGCCCGAACGGTCATTCACTGTCCCTGGGTGCGTGGCTGAAGTGGGGATCCACGGCAAAGACTCTTGTTGGTGATTTGTTGTTGTTTTGTTGCGTCGTCCCCCCCCCCCCCGGCTCCGCGACCCACCCGCGATCCACCCGCGACCCACCCCGCGAGCCACCTGCGACCCACCCCGCGACCCACCCGCGACCCACCCCGCGACCCATCCGCGCGACCCACCCACGACCCACCCACGACCCACCCCGCGACCCACCCGCGACCCACCCCAAGACCCACCCACGACCCACCCGCGACCTTCCCCGCGCCCGCCCCCTCACTCTTATCCGCAATGGCGGGGTGCTACGATATTATTATCTGCTTTTTCTTATTCTTAGTATCAGAGTGAGGGGGCTGAACCGAACGGTCATTCACTGTCCCTGGGTGCGTGGCTGAAGTGGAATTCCGCGATGCGGATTCTCGTTGATGATGTTGTTGTTGTTATTGTTGTTGTTGTTGTTGCTGTGTGTGTGTTGTTTGTTGTTGTCGTCGTCCCACCCGCGACCCGCCCCGCGACCCACCCGGGGCTCGTTGTATAGCTTGACAATGTTGCGCCTGCGGCGGGCTTCTTCAAAGACTCGCAGACTGCAGACGTCCCCGCCGCCCCCTCACTATTATCCGCAACTGCGGGGTGCTACGTCATTCTTATCATTTCTATTCGTCTCCTTCTTCTTTTTCCTCCTCCTCCTCCTCCTCCTCCTCCTCCTCCTCCTCCTCCTCCTCCTCCTCCCCTCCCCCTCCCCCTCCCCCTTCCCTTCCCCCTTCCCCCCCCCTCCTCCACCTCCTCCTCCTCCTCCTCCTGATCCTGCTCCTCCTCCTCCTCCTCCTCCTCCTCCTCCTCCTCCTCCTCCTTCCTCCTCCTCCTCCGTCTCCTCCTCCTGCACCTCCTCCTCCTCTTCCTCCTCCTCTTCCTCCTCCTCCTCCTCCTGCTCCCCCCTCTCGTATGGTAAGGGTGGTGGACAATCGGCGCATCAAAGAATGCCAGCCCCCAACGCAGAGCCAAATGTACGATTCCTCGTCGAAGAAACAATCCCTGCCACGCTGGGCCTCGGAAAGCCTCGGGATCCATAGGGCTCCCTCGAGGGCGCGAAGTTATTCGCGCTTCGCGCTTCGCGGTCCTCGTTCCTTCTCCCCCTCCTCCTCGTCCTCCTATTCTCCTTTTGGGAGGGCGGCGCGAGAGCGCGAAGTTATTCGCGCTTCGCGCTTCGCGCAGCGCGAAGCGCGAAGTTGGGAGCCCTTGCTGAGTGACGACAAGAGGCAGGTCTTCCACGAGATGGTGCAGCAACCTTACGACGAGGTGGCTTACGCGGGCCGCCCGCGCGACACGCTACAGTGGAAGCGACTGACCTTACGCGGGCAGCTTACGCGCCAATGTCAGTGAAGACAACTCCGTCTTCTTCCGTCGCTCGCATGCGATTTCATGACTCATCCCAGCGATCTTCGACTCTGCAGTAGCCGAACTCTACCGAATTCTGCCTCGAGCACGGCCACGGCCCCCGCTCCAAGAAGCAGGGCCTCTGGGAGGGGCGAGAACAAGAAGGCGGCCTCGAGCTCCTGCCGCAACCACTGGAACGCCCCGGAGCGGATGAGCCGGCTCCTGTGCGACCGGCTGGCCGACCGACCGACGATCGATCGGCGATCGACGATCGACTGGCCGAGCGACGATCGACCGATCGACCGCCCGACGTTCGACGACGACGGCGACCGACTATCGACGGCGACTGCGACGGCACCAGCGCCAGCGGCGGCGAAGACGAAATCACCCGCGGCGGCAGCGGCGAGCACACCGCGAAGATGTGCCGATGGCTGCAACGGAGGCAGCAGCGGCGACAACATCAGCGAGGGCGACGAGGGAGGCAGTGAAGGAGAGAGGAGGAGGAGAATGAGGAGGAGGAAGAGGAGGGAAGATGATCAGGACTGGGACAAAGACGAGAAGGAGGAAGTTTGATACAAGGGAGTCGAGATAGCTTACCGCCCTCATTCCTGGCAAATCTGGGCTTTGAACAAGGGGACGGTTTGTTAATGCAACCCCACTACGAAACATGTTACGACCCTTCGCCAGCTCCGCTGTCCAGGAAGGGAATCTAGTATCCAAAATTACCCTTCCCCACGCCACGTGGACCGGGGGAGGGTTCACCTCCAAAAAATCGAATGGTTGCAAGGTGAACGGGACTCCCGAAAGCCGGCGGCGGCCCCCAGGGGGTGGGTTCAAGAGAAATCGCAGGCGGTGGTGAAAGGCGAACGGCTTTCACGAAGTAGGCGGAGGCCCCCAGAATAGGTCATGTCGTAAATGAGCACAGATTTCCCGGAGCTTTTTCGCCAGTCCAAAGTTGTGGAAATGCAGCATTAGACCAGCGAAGATGCTTCGTGCATCGGCACACTTTCCCCGATGCATCTGTCTGAATGTGGGCTTTGCAACAAAATCCGCGTGAATGCTCTGAGAAATGTTGAGGCGAACTCATCAAGAATGGAATGATCCCTCTCCGTGTGAGAATATGAAGTCAGTCGGACTCAGACAAGCAATGGATGCCACGTGTCACCCCCGAAACCGTGTGAGAAAAAACAGCTGTAACATTGGGACTCGGAAAGGCCAAGCAGCCGCAGAAAAAAACAGCGGGTGACACGTGTCACCCCCGAAACCGTGCGAGAAAAAACAGTTGTGAGTGTGGGATTCTGGGAGCCAAATTGGAATCATTGGGCGTGGGAGAAGATGCGGGTGACACGCGTCAACCCCGAAACCCTTTGACACAAAAACAATTGAAAAAGCGCGGCCTCCGCCTCCATTCGCTTCCGCCCCATCTGGGAGGCCTGGACTGAGAAAGACAAGGGGGGGAGAGAGAGAGAGAAAGAGAGAGAGATAGAGAGAGAGAGAGAGCACGCCTTCCCGATACCACCATCGCCATCGTCGTGTGAGGGGGCAACCGTTGGGAGGGACCAGCTCAGATGGCGAAACATCGAGCTTGGATCGGTGATCCATCAACGCCAGATCAGCACACGGTCTTGGGCGAGGTGTGGGCCATCGGGCCCCTGTTGGCGACCAATGGGCGATTGGGGGTCGATGAATCCCCCCCCAGGCCAATGTCTCCCAATGACCCTCGTCGTGTGGTTTTCGGGTCGTCACTCGGGTCTCCGGCGGTCGTTCGGGACAATCTCCGCACCCCCGGAGCGCCATCGACGAGGCGCAGCTGATGGAAACCACCCCAGACCTCGGAACTTTGCAAATCACGCCATGGAGCCTGAGGGCACGCTCCAAACCCGAGTCGAAGGAGGGCCACTGGAGACAACGGCGGCTCCCCCGCTCAGCCCAAATCTCCTCAAAGTCAGCCCGCCGTTCGAGGCTGCGCCGGCCGCGGCGACGAGAAGCCGCTGGCAGGCCCAGGACGGACGAGACGCGGCAGGCAGGACTCGAGGAGCAGGAGGAAGGCCCTCCAGGGAGAGATAGACGACGACGACGACGGCGGCGACGACGACGACGACGACGACGACGACGACGACGACGACGACGACGACGACGGCGACGACGACGATGAAGGACGGACGACGACGACGGCGACGACGACGACGAGGCGGCTGCCTGGACCGGCCCTCCTCCGACCGGGCCGCGCGCGGGCCGCCCGCCGCCGCGCCGCGCGCGGCCGGGCGGCCGAGCGGCGCAGCGGCCCGCGCGGCGGGCGCTCTGCGCGCGCGGCCGGGGGCCGAGCGGCCGATCGGCCCGCGCGGCTGGGGCGCCGCGCGGCAGGCTGCTGCGCCCTGCGCCGCGCCGCCGCGGCCGGCGGGGCCCCGGCGCGGCGCCGCTCGGCGCCGCGCGGCGGCGCGCGCGCGCCGCGGAGGCGCGGCCGGCGGCGGCCAGGGCGTCAGGCGGGCTCGTCGTCGTCGTCGGAGGGGCCCTCGGCCTCCCGCGCCTCGGAGCGCGAGAGGCGGAGGTAGTCGAAGCTGCGCCCGCTGCTGCTGGGGCGCGATGGGGCCGCGGTCGGGCGTGCCGCCCCGAGGCGGGAGGGCAGCCGACGGCACAGAGAAGTGCATGTCTCTCTGGGAGGTCCGCGCCGATCTCTTGCCTCGGAGGCGTTGCGGCCTCCATCTCTGGCGCGCGGGGCGGGCATCGGTGGCGCTGGGGGCGTCCGCGCGGACCTCCAGGAGCTCATGCTCGTACAGTTCTAGAAGCATGATCAGAGTGAGGGGGCCGAGTGGTCATTCATTGTCTCTGGGCGCGTGGCAAAGTATGCTGTTGTTGCTGATGTTGAACGAATAATTATTTTTGATCCCCCCACCAGTGCACAATTTACTGTTTCAATTGAAGTGCCTTCTTGGGGGGCTCGCACCCTGTTTTTTATCAGGGAAGGTCTTCAAGCTCAAACTGTCCCCCTGGCCCCCGGGTCACAACAACAACGGCTCCCGCCTGAGATCTCCTTACAATTTTGCCCTGACCCCCGCTCCCGCCTGAGACTTCCTTGCGTTTGATTCAGGAATCGCGCTCTCGCTTGGGACTTCCTTACAATTGATCCAGGAATCGCTCTCTCAGCGCTCTGGAGTCGCGCTTTCGCTGGAGACTTGCTTGCAACGTACTCAAGAATAGCGCCCTTGCGTCTGAATCTCGCGCAATTTACTCAAGCGCCGCGCCCCGACACTCAAGCACCCAAGAGTCGCGCTCACGCTTAGGATCTCGCTGCCCTTCGTAGCCCCATAGCAGCCCTTCATGGCCCCCTCGCTGCCCTTCGTGGAACTGTTGCAGCCCTTCGTGGCCCCCTCGCTGCCCTTCGTGGCTCCCTCGCTGCCCTTCGTGGCCCCGTCGCTGCCCTTCTCGGCCCTGTTGCTGCCCTTCGTGGCCCCTTCGCTGCCCTTCGTGGCCCCCTCGCTGCCCTTCGTGGCCCCGTCGCTGCCCTTCGTGGCTCCTTTGCAGCCATTCGTGGCCCCCCCGCTGCCCTTCGCGGCCCCGTCGCAGCCCTTCGTGGCCCCCTCGCTGCCGTTCGTGGCCCCGTTGCAGCCCTTCGTGGCCCCGTTGCACCCCTTCGCGGCCCCCTCGCTGCCTTTCGTGGACTCGTTGCTGCCCTTCGTGGCCCCCTCGCTGCCGTTCGTGGCCCCGTTGCAGCCCTTCGTGGCCCCGTCGCTGCCCATCGTGGCCCCGTAGCAGCCCTTCGTGGCCCCGTCGCTGCCATCCGTGGCCCCGTCGCAACCCGTCGTGGCCCCGTTGCAACCCCTCGTGGCCCCACATATGTATGCCCTTCGTGGCCCCCGCTCGTTCGCGCCCGTCGTGGCCCCATGTGCATGCCTTTCGTGGCCCCGCTGTCGCCCTTCGTGGCCCCTCGCTGTCCTGCGTGGCCCAGTTTCTACCCTCAGTGGCCCCGTCGTTGCCTTCTGTGGCCCCGCATTATCTGCCCTTCGTGGCCCCCGCTCGTTCGTGCTCTTCGTGGCCCCATACGCATTCCATTCGTGTCCCCGCTGTCGCCCTTCGTGGCCTACTTCGTGCCCTTCGTGGCCCTGCTGCCGTTGTCTGTCTCGCTTTCGGTTTCGCTCGTCGTCGTCGTCGCCGTCGTCGTCGTCGTCGACGTCGTCGTCGTCGACGTCGTCGTCGTCGTTGTCGGTCCCCTGTCCGTCCCTCTTGGGGTCAGGTTGCCGCCGATCAGCGCTGCCGCTGGCCAGGCCGACGGTCCGCGGCCGCCCCGCTGCTTGCCAGGGCCCAGCCTGCATGGAAGAAAGGTATACCCCCCAAAAGGGGTACCTATACGACCACCCTTCGGGTGATAAGGAGGTTCTGGGGGGGGAGGAACCAACGTCTCACTCGATCGGTATCACTATCGATTTCACGATCGATCTCACTATCGATAAGCTCGATCGATCTCACCCGATCGATCTCACAATCGGTCGCACTCGATATATTTCATTCGATCGATCTCACAATCGATATGACTATCGATAACACTATCGATCTCAGTATCGATCTCACTATGGATCTCGGAATCGATCTAACATTCGGTCTCACAATCGATCTCTCTATCGATATCACCGTCGATCGCACAATCAACGTCAGCATCATCATCATCATCACCATCATCAATATCATCGCCATCAACCTCATCATCATCGGGACCCCATCATCAGCATCATCATCACCTCATCACCATCATCATCACCATAATCATCATATTCATAATCGGGACACCATCATCGTCACCAGCATCATGAACATCATCATCGGGACACCATCAGCATCACCGGCACACTTCCATCATCATCATATCATTATGATGGACCACATCACCAACATAATCATCCTCGGGACACCATCATTATCATCATCAGCAGCAACATCATCATAATCAACATCAACATCATCATCATCATCATCATCATCATCATCAGCTTCAGCTTCATCATCATCATCATCATCATCATCAGCATCAACATCGGGACACTATCATCATCGTCATGATCATCATCATCACCATCATCATCAACATCATCATGGGGACACCATCAGCATCATAAGCAGCAACATCATCATCACCATCATCGGGCCACCATCATCAACCTTATCATCATCATCATCATCACCTCATCATCATCCTCATCATCAACATCACCATCACCGTGACACCATCATCGTCATCATCATCAACATCATCATCATCGGGACACCATCATCATCATCATCACCATCATCATAAACATCATTATCATCATCATCATCATCGGGACACCATCATCATCATCATCATCATCATCATCATCTGCATCATCACCGTCATCATCTCATCCTCATCTGATCATCATCAACATCGTCAGGAACATCAACATCATCATCACCATCGGGACACCATCATCACCATCAGCAACATCATCATCAACATCATCATCCTCATCGGGACACCATCATTATCACCACCATCACCAGCACAATTATCATCCACATCGTCAACATCATCATCATCAGCAGCAGCATCATCATCATCTGATCATCATCAACATCATCATGATCATCAGCATCATCATCTCCATCGGGACACCATCATCACCATCAGCAACATCATCATCAACATCATCATCATCATCGGAACACCATCATCATCACCACCATCACCATCACAATTATCATCCACATCGTCAACATCATCATCATCATCACCATCATCATCTTCATCATCATCGGGACACCATCATCATCTCCACCATCACCATCACCATCACCATCAACACCATCGACATCATCATCATCATCATCATCATCGTCATCATCATCATCATCATCATCATCATCATCATCATCATCATCATCATCATCATCATCATCATCATCATCGGGACACCGACGGGACACTGGCGGGACACCGGCGGGACACCGCGGGCCACCGGACGCCAGAAGGGAGTCATTTGGTCCGGCCGCGCCTCAGCCGGAGGCGGGACACCGGCGGGACACCGCGGGCCACCGGTTGCTGGAAGGGAGGCATTTGGTCCGGCCGCGCCTCAGCCACAGGAGAGTTTCTTCTCGCCCGCCCACGAAGCTTCGCCTCGCCCGCACGCACGGCACGCACGAACACGGAACCGAAACCGATTTCCCGGTAGGGGGGCTCTCCTTTTCACTTCGATCTCACCCCCTCACCTCCGACGATCGAAGACGAAGAGGGCGGGTATCGAGGGATTGGGAAATACGCGTTAACGGACACTCGGGCAAATAAGAGCAAACAAGATTAAAATGATTGTTGTTGTTGGTGTTGTTGCTGCTGTTGTTGTTGTTATCGTTGTTATTGTTGTTGTTGTTGTTGGTGTTGTTGTTGTTGTTGTTGTTGTTGTTGTTGGTGTTGTTGTTGTTGTTGTTGTTGTTGTTGTTGTTGTTGTTGTTTGTTGTCGTCGTCCCACCAGCGACCCACCCCGCGACCCACCCGCGACCCACCCCGCGACCCACCCGCGACTCACCCGCGACCCACCCCGCGACACACCCGCGACCCACCCGCGACCCACCCGCGACCCACCCGCGACCCACCCGCGACCCACCCGCGACCCACCCGCGACCCACCCGCGACCCAACCCGTGACCCACCAACATTGTCTTAACAATAAAATCAGCGCCTGCGGCGGGCTCGTTTTATACTTTGTGAAACGTTGGCGCCTGCGGCGGGCTTCTTCAGAGCCTCGCAGACTGCCGACGTACCCGCCGCCCCCTCATCCTTATCCGCAACTGCGGGGTGCTACGGTTATTCGACCACTGGGGAAAGACAAACACATGATCAAAGCAGAAAACGTCGAATCGATATACCTGTTTGGCCGCGGACTCTTGAGCAGGGGCTGGCCGTCCCGACATTCCTATAGGCCCTCCGCGAAATGTTCTGAAAACCCCAAAATGCTCTAAACTCCCGAACGAAGTTCTTACAACATGAAGCCGATGCGCTGGAACAGGCCAGTCTTAGCCTGACATGTTCTAAAAACATGTCGTGCGAACTGGAACCAGTTGTTCGAAAAGTCTGTGGTTGACCTATGGGCAAGCCAAGACGCTTCGCCACTGCTTGAGATTCGGCGATAGGATAAGTCGGTACGGCCAGACCAGGGTGCGAACAAAAAGGAATGGCACAGATGCGGGGGGGAATGGGAAGTGCGGCCGCGGAAAGAACGAAGGTGGAGCAGTTCTCCGTGAGCGGCAAAAGGAAACGGGGGGCTTACGCGAGATGGCACAGCCACCTTACGCGGTGGCTTACGCGGGCCGCCAGCGCAGCCCGTCACGCAGGAAGCGAGGGCGCTTGCGCGCGACCTTGCGCGGGAACCTTACGCGCGAATGCCGCTGCAATCGACCCGCTCTTCTGCCGTCGCTCAAACGTCTGCACCAAAGAAAGGAGCAACAGAAACCAACAAATACCGTGCTGCCCCTCGGGGCAGCCGGCCGACCGCCGCCGATTGGGCGTCGCCCGCGGGCTTGCCCTCCAGGAAAGCGATCGCCTCGGGCGCAATGAAGACGACGACGAGGACGGAAGGACGACGACGAACCACGAAGGCGACGAAGACGACGAAGACGACGACGACGACGACAACGACGATGAAGACGACGAGCACGGCCACCAACGACGAAGAACGACGAGGACGAACGACGGCGACGACGAGGAGGGACGGCGAGGAGGTCGGCGAGGGCGAGGACGAGGAAGGCCACGACGACGTGGATGACGACGACGACGACGACGAGCACGACGACGACGAACGACGACCAAGCGACGAGGGCGAGGACGCAGACGACGAGGACGGCGACGACGCTCCAGAGGGGGGCAAGCCGCCCCTGGCCGCCGCGGGCGGCCGGCGACAAGCGACCAAACGAGGGCGGCGACCCGCGGCGCCCCCCGGGGGCGACGCCCCCCCGAGGGGCGAGCGGTGTCCCGAAGGGCCACGGGGGGACGGAGGAGGAGGACGAAGGATGGAGGGTGGAGGAGGAGAAAGGACGGAGGATTGAAGGGGTGAAGGAGGAGGAGGAGGATGGAGGAGGAGGAGGAGGAGCAGGAGGAGGAGGAAGGATGCAGGAGAGAGAGAATGGACAGGACGAAGGCGAGGAGGAGGAGGAGGAGGAAATGAACCAATCCGTTCCACTGGCAGTTTGTCCCAACATCCTGTGGTGTTGGGTCCTCGTGTGGTAGAGACAACGCCCCGCGTCTCACCTCCTCCCGCTGCCCCTCCTTCCTCCTCATCGCCATCGAAAAGAAAAAGAACAGAAACTACATAAGAAAAAGAGGAACACCTGCAAACAGACGGTCGCCTCTAGCTGCTGAGATCACGTGGGTGAGGCTGTGGCCTCTGGAATTATATTGGCGGGACGCGCTACTGCGAGGGAAGGGAAGGGCAGGAAGGGAAGGAGGAGGGAGGATACGGGGGGGAGCAGGAAGCGAGGAGGACGGAGAACGCAGGAGGAGGAGGACCAGTGAAAATCCCCGAAACTCAACTCAAGACGCATCAACGATGCGTCAATAAACCCTTCCTCCAAATTCCCTACAAGACGATGTCTTCATTGCGGAAATAGTCCTGTTAGAAGACAACCGTCTGAGAACCCTCAATCGTGCCAAAACGCAACTCCTGGGACTTCAACGCCGTGAATCAACGTGACTGTTGCGTCCTAACAACCCTGAGCCATGCCGTGCGAGATCCATGAGCTACCGGCACTGAAGCAAAAGCCACAGTTTGAAAAGCAGCCACCATCCATACCTGAACGTGCTGCGAACTGTTAAGACGAATGTGCACGGCGCTGTGGCGAAAGCCACATTTTGAAAGCGAGCCGTCCCCCGTATATGAAACTGCTGGAAACTTTCAAAACGAAATTGCGCGGCGTAAAAGGCGAGAACCACACTGGTTCAACCACCAGCCCTCCATCCTTCAAACTGTTCGAACCTGAAAACTTCCGGCTCATACGTGATGGGGACGGCTCAGACGAAACGCCCAGCACGCCCTGCCGACACGTCTGGGGGTGCGACAGGGAGGTATGGTTTTAAGGGAAAGGGGATGGAGGAGCCAGGACTCATGGGAGGCGAGGGGAGGGAGGAGAAGGGAAAAACGCCGAAAGGGAGGACGGGTGAAGAGAGGCAACTGGAGACAATACCCAAGTTCCAACTCCCAAAACATCTCCTGGCGTACGTTCTGGCAAGAATTTCGAAACGAAAGCAGCCGTGGCGACGAGGGCCTCCTGGGAGCCCCAAGACGTCGAAAACGATGCAAGGATAGCGGTATCCCCAGACCCCCGACGTCATGAATTTGTCATAACGAGGACCCCCAAAGGTCTGGATCCCTTCCCTGGGACTGGCTTCTCATCATCCTGAGTCGTTGTTGACGGTTCTGAAGCCCAATACATAAGGTCCCCGGGGTTGAAAACTATCGAGAACCTTATGCCGTGTCTTTCTCATGATGCGATGGGGTCTGGGGATACCTATGCCCAGCCGAGGAAGGAAGGAGATCGCCTCGGTCGCCACGGGGTGCGAGCCGATGATCCCAACCACGGCTCCGCTCACGGTCAGGCCGATCACCTTTGGGCTCAAGCGTCACCGAATCTGCTGCTGCTCCGCGCTCTCCCTGCCTCCTGCTTCTTTCTCGCCGCCTCGAAACCAGCTCCAGCCGACGACGTTCGCACGCGGAGGAAAAAGTAAACGCGGAGCCTCCTCCTCCACCTCCTCCTGCTCCTCATCCTCCTCCGCCTCCATCCTTTTACATATGAATATTGAAGGATGCAAAAACGCCCCTACCCTGGGTTACAAGCGCGTGGTCCGTAAACCTCCTGGGAGCTCCCAAAGGCCAGAGAGCCGCCAGGACGCCGCGCGACACGCTGCAGGGTTTACCCTGTCAGCGCACAGGAGGTTCAGCGCACAGCGCCTCGTAAACCAGGGCAGGGGCGTTTTTAACGCCCTTGAGAATAACTCCTCCCTGTCGCGCCCCCAGGCGTGTCGGCAGGGGAGCCAGCCGTTTCGCCTGAGACTCCCTCACCAATTATGATCCTGAAGCTCGACGTGTCCAACATTCTCACAGATGGTGGGGGGGGTCGTATTCAAAATTGGGCTTTCGCTGCAGAGCCGCGCGCGTTCGTGCTGAAACTATGCAACAACATCCAAGGATGGAGGGAGGGTCGATTCCCAAATGCGGCTCTCACGCTCTCAAAACAGCGTCGCGCACTTTCGACTTACCACTGTACAGTAGTTTTCAAGATGGGGGCAACTGATTTTAAAAATGGTTTTATCGCTTTACCAACGTGCAAACCCGTATTAGAAAATTCGCAACAGGCTCGCGGACGAAGGGCGGGGGCCATTTTTTACAAAATGTGGGGAGCCGCGCAGAGCCGGCTTGAAACATTACACCAACTTCACGGATGGAGGGCGGATTCTTTGCAAAGTTTCGCTCTAGCCTCAGCGCCGCGCGCGTTTTGAAACGCAATATTTCCAAACAAGACAAGCGGCCCTACACCAAATGTTGCACCCGCCGGAACGCCGCGCACACTCGTCTTCAAAATGGTCGAAACATTCAAGGATCGGCCGTAAGCTTGGAGCCCAGGAGCGGCGTTTTGGCACGGTTTGGGAGTGTCGAGACGCAACAGTCACGTCGATTCATTGTGCTTGGGCGCGTTTGAAAACTCTCAAGCGGTTGTCTTCCGATGGGGCCCGATCCGCAATGAACACAAGCCCTGTCATGGCTAATGAACGGAGGAACTTGGAAAGAAGGGCTATATTGTTGCAACATCGTTGGTGCGTCTTGGGTTTGCACTGGTCCTCCTCCTGCTCCTACGTCTCAATGATCGACGCTAGAGCTTGGCGAACATCGGGGTTCTAAGGGGGCCGCTCGTTCCCCGCGCAAATTCAAATTGGCATGGCGATCTCCAGGCAGGGCCCAACGTCCTCCTCCTTTTCAGCATCATGCGAGGCATCCATGGCCAACCTTTGTTGGACACCCTGAACCCGGTTACGGTTACTGTTTGTCGATGGCGATCGGTGGGCCCCCAAAAAAATACACGGCACGCTGGGACCCCGGAACTGTCGGGATCCCACCGCGCTCTCTCCGATGCTGCGGGGTGGCCTGGTGGCCTGCCGCGTGGGCGGCCTTGATATGAATCCTTCTAGTTGACTCCTCCCCCCATTTACGATTGCTACTACTACTACTACTACTACTACTACTACGACTACTACGCCTACTACGACTACTACGACGACGACGACGACGACGACGACGACTACTACTACTACTAATAAAAATAATACTACTACTACCACCACTACGACTACTACTACTACTGCTACTACTACTACTACTACTACTACTACTACTACTACTACTACTACTACTACTACTACTACTACTACTACTACTACTACTACTACTACTGCTACTACTACTACTACTACTACTACGACTACTACTACTACTACTACTACTACTACGACTACTTACTACTACTACTACTACTACTACTATACTACCACGGGACTACTACTACACTATAACTACTACTACACGACTACGACTACTACTACTACTACTGCTACGGCGAGTACTACTATACATACCACTACTACTACTACTACTACTACTACTACTGCTGCTACTACTACTACTACTACTGCTACTATTACTACGACTACTACTACTACTACTATTATTACTACTACTACTACTACTACTGATACTATTGAAAACTACTACTCCTACTACTACTACGACTACTACTACTAGTACTACTACTACTACTACTACTACTACTACTATTACTACTATTACTACTCTTACTTACGAGCCTACTACCAGTACTACATGTAACTACGAACTACGACAACGACGACGACTACTGCTACAACTACTGCTACTACTACTACTACTACTAACTACTACTACTACTACTACTTACACTAAACTAACTACTACTACTACGACTACTACTACTACACTACTATTAACTACTATTACTACTACTACTATCACTGCTACTACTACTACTACTACTACTACTACTACCACTACTATTGCTACTACTACTATGACTACTACTACTACTACTGCCGACTACTACTGTTACTTCTACTACTACTGCGATTACTACTACTATCCGTGCTAACACCAAAACAAATACTACTACGACAACGACTACTACTACTACTACTACTACTACTACGAGTACTACTACTACTACTACTACTACTACTACTACTACTACTACAACTACTACTACTACTACTACAACTACTACTACTACTACTACTACCTACTACAACTACTACTACTACTACTACTACTACTACTACTACTACCACCACTATTATTATTACTACTACCAGGACCGCGGCAACTACCACGATTACTACTATTACTACTACTACTACTACTACTACTACTACTACCACTACCACTACTACTACTACTACTACTACTACTACTACTACTACTACTACTACTACTACTACTACAATTCGTGCTGAAGGTGCGCCGCTGGGATTCTCCCCAGGGGGGGGGGAACCCCCCCTTCCCCGATCCGGTCCCCCCCGTCATGGACCCCCAGCCCTCCGCCTATCCCCGATCCCGTCGTCGGGGAGCCATCCCCCCCTCTCTCCTTTTTCCCCGATGCGCGCGTCGGGAAAACCTTTGGTTCCTTCCCCTCTCCTTTCAAAAGGGGGTGGGTGGGACCGCCCGCCCCCCCCCCCTTCCACCTTGGCCGCACCGCCCCCCCCTTCCCCCCCCTTTCGCCACGCTGCCCCCCTGACTTCCGGAAACCCGAAAACCCCCCGCCACCCTACCCTATTTCCACCCTAACCCACACCCCTAACCCGAACCCCAACCACTGACCCCAGCCCCAAAGAGTACTCACCACTCATTACCCACTACCCACTAGTGACTAGTCGCTCTTCGCTACTCACTTCTCACTACCCCCTACGCACTACTCACGACTCACTACTCACTATCCACTACTCACTACCCACCACCCACTACTCGCTACTCACTACTTCCTACTCACCACTCCCTCCTCCCTACTCACTACACTCACTACTCACTCCTCACTACCCACTACTCAATACTCACTACTCACTAAGCACTACTCACTACTCACTACTCACTAATCACTACTCATTACCCACTACCCACTAATCCACGACTCACGACTCTCTACTCCTTGCCCACAAATCACTCATCACTACCCACTACTTGCTACTCGCTACTCCCTAGACAATACTGACTACACAGTACTCAGTACTCACTACTCGATACTCCTATACTCGCTACTCAATACTCACTACTCACTCGCCGCTACTCACTACTTACTACTCACTACTCCCTACTCACTAGTCACTAGTCACTACATAGCCTCTAGTCACTAGTCACAGGTCACTGGTCACGAGTCACTACTCACTACCCACTATTCACTACTCACTAATCGCTACTCGCTACCCACTACTCGCTACCCATCTCTTACTACTCAATGCTCACTACTTCCTACTCCCTACTCCCTACTCGCTACTCCCTAATCGTTACTCACTAATCACTACCCACTACTCACTACTAGCTACTCTCTACTCACTACGCCCAACTCGCTCCTCACTATTCACTACTCGATAGTCCCTATTCGCTACTCACTACACACTACTCACTGCCACTACCCACTACTCTCCATTCATCAATACTCACCACTCGCTACGCACTACGAAGTACTCAGTACTCACTACTCACTACTCACTAGTCACTACTCGCGACTCATTACTCATTACTCACTACTCACTTCTCACTACTCACTACTCACTACTCACTACGCACTACGCACTACCCACTACTCACGACTCACTAATCACTACTCGCCACCAGCTACTCACTACCCACTACCCACCACCACTACTAGGTACTCCCTACACCCTACTCAATACTCACTACACACTACTCGCTACTCACTACTCACTACTCGCCTCTCACTACCCACTTATCAGTACACACGACTCACTATTCACTACCCACTATTCCCGACTCCCTACTCCCTACTCCATATTCGCCACTCACTCCTATTACTCACTACCCAATACTCTCACTACTCACTACGCACTAACTCACTACTCACTATTCACCACTCCCTACTCCCAACTCCGCACTCCCTACTGCCACTCCCTACTCCCAACTCTGGCGCAGAAAGGAGAAGCGAGAGAGGCCCCACCTCTCCCCTGCTCCTTTCCGGCGCAAAGGGGGGGAGGGGGGGGGTGGTTCGACCCCCCCCCCTTTCAGCGCGAAAGGAAAGGGGGGGGGTTCGGCCACCCCGCTCCTCCTCCCATTCAGTGAAGGGGGGGGAGGGGGGGGGGGTCCGCACCCCTCGCCTTTTAGGTGCATTCAGACGCACTTTCCCCAATTACTATACTGCTACTACTACTACTCACCCTGACTACGACTATCTACTACTAACTCTACTAACTACTACACTACTACTACTACTACTACTACTACTCTATATTACTACTACTAACTAATACTACTACTACTACTACTACGCCTACTACTACTACGCTGGTGCTACTAC